CTATGGTATTATGAGTTACAAATGCATTTATAGTAGAACTTACTATTAATATTGATATTTTATGTGAAAAGGTAAAATTTTTTATTAATTATTTTGAAATTAATAACTTTTTAGCTTCTAATGAATTTTTAATTTTAAAAACATAATTATATAAAGAATATACTTAATTAAAAGAAGCAGCAAATACTCTACTAAAAACTTTAGATAAGAAAAGATAAAAATTGTGTAAAATTTTAAAAAGTATAATTTGAATGATATATTTAATTGTAATAAGATAGGTAAATTTCTTTATTTTATAAAAAATTTAAATTTATACATATTAAATTTTCATTGATATTAAATTTGAATTGGAATCTTGAACTATTAAAAATATTAGCAAGAGGGTCATTTTCTAAAAAAAAAATCTAAAAAAAGAGTTATTATTCTTTTTACATGTAATGTAATTGGATCAGAAAAATTAAAGTCACTTTTTATTTATATAGTAGCGGTCATAAGTATCTAACTGCCTGAGATTATTCAAAATTATTATATAATTATCCTTAAATTTTTCAGAAAATATAATGTAATACAATACATGATCACCTGTAAATTTATAAGTGTCAATGATACAAAAAAAAAAATTTAGATGATCATCAAACTTTTGCTTGAAAAATATACCTTTTTTTAGAGAAACAATATAAAATTGTCTTTTTACGTGAACATCCAGCTGGTCTAAAATTTAGTTTTAGATTTATTGCTAAATAGGTATATTGTAGTAAGTCTACAGCTATTTATTGAGTTAAAAGATATTATAAAAATCAGGATCTAAGTATTTCAGAAAGACCAAGACAATCTTGTGTAATATCTAAAGTTCTGAACGGTTTAGATTAATCTGAAAATTTTTGGTTCAGATCAACTTCAATTCAGTTCAGATTGCAAAAAATTCAATCTGAAAATTTTTAGTTCAGTTCAGATTTTTTTCAGATTATAAATCTAATCTGAACTGAAAAAAATCTGAATTGAACTAATAATTTTGAATTAATCCAAAATTTCAGATCATTTGAAATGATTAAATTTATCATTTCAAAAGAACAATAAAAGAATCATTCATTTGGAACGATTGAAGTTATCATTTCAAACGAATGATAAAAAAATCATTTGATTGAAATGATTAAATTATCATTCCAATTGAACGATAAAAGAATTGTTCAATTGGAATGATGAAATTATCATTCTAAACGAACAATAAGAAAATCGTTTGATTGGAATAATTAAATTATCATTCTAAAAGAATGATAAAAGAATCATTCATTGAAGTTATCGTTCTAAATGAATGATAAGAAAATTGTTCGATTGGAATGATTAAATTATTATTCTAAAAGAATAATAAAAGGATCATTCAATTAGAATGATGAATTTATCATTCTAAACGAATGATAAAAGAATTGTTTGATTAGAACGATTAAATTATTATTCCAAAAGAATAATAAAAGAATCGTTCATTTAAAATGATTGAAGTTATCATTCTAAACGAACGATAAGAAAATCATTCGATTAGAACAATTAAATTATCATTCTAAAAGAACAATAAAAAATTGTTTATTTGAAATGATTAAAGTTATCGTTCTTAACGAACAATAAAAAAATTATTCGATTAGAATAATTAAATTATCGTTCTAAAAGAATAATAAAAGAATCATTCAATTAGAACGATAAATTATTATTTCAAATGAATGATAAAAGAATTATTTGATTAGAATGATTAAATTATCATTTTAAAAGAATAATAAAAGAATCATTCATTTAGAACGATTGAAGTTATTATTTCAAACGAATGATAAGAAAATCGTTCAATTAGAATGATTAAATTATCATTTCAAAAGAATGATAAAAGAATCATTCATTTGAAATGATTGAAGTTATCATTTTAAACAAACAATAAAAAAATCGTTCATTTGGAACAATTAAATTATCATTCTAAATGAACAATAAAAGAATCATTCAATTGGAATGATTAAATTATTGTTCTAAAAAAATGATAAAAGAATCGTTTATTTAAAACGATTAAAGTTATCATTCTAAACGAATGATAAGAAAATCATTTGATTAGAACGATTAAATTATCATTCTTAAAGAGCGATAAAAGAATTGTTATCATTCTAAATGAACAATAAGAAAATCATTTGATTAGAATAATTAAATTATTATTCTAAAAGAACAATAAAAGGATCATTCGATTAGAATGATTGAAGTTATCATTTTAAACGAACGATAAGAAAATTATTCAATTGGAATGATTAAATTATTATTTCAAAAGAATGATAAAAGAATCATTCATTTGAAATGATTGAAGTTATTGTTCCAAACAAATAATAAAAGAATCGTTCATTTGGAATAATTAAATTATCATTCTAAACAAACAATAAAAGAATCATTCAATTGAAACAATTAAATTATTGTTCTAAAAAAATGATAAAAGAATCATTCATTTGGAATGATTGAAGTTATCATTCCAAACGAACGATAAGAAAATTATTTGATTGGAACGATTAAATTATCATACCAAACAAATGATAAAGAATTATTATAAACGATCTAAAATTTCAGATTAATCTGAAATTTTTAGTTCAGTACAGATTTTTACCAGTTTACAGTTCAGTTCAGTTTCAGATTGGCCTATAATTTGAACTGAACTGAATCATTCAGAGTATTAGTAACATCTGTAAAACAAGATGTAAGATTGTAAAAATAGCAGAGAAAGAACATAATATAATAGCCATTTAAATACAAGAAAAAATTGAAAAAAAGGTATTAAGCTTAGTGTAGAAATAGTAAGACGATGTTTTCGTAAGTCTGGAGAAAAGTTTAATAATAAAATTTCTAAACCTTTGCTTAAAGAAGACCATTGAAAGAAAAGGTTGTAATAGGCAAAAAAACATAAGAATTTTGATTAGAATCAAGTTGTTTTTACAGATAAGAGTACATTTTAATTATATATATCAAAAAAAAAAAGGTTTGACAGTTTCCTGGTAGAAAAAAGTATTTCATTCTGTTAAACATCCACCAAAAGTTCATGTTTGGGAATGTTTTTCTACTTCTGGATTTGGTAAGCTATTTTGCTTTCAAAGGAACCTTAATGCTAAATTTATATATACTATTTATGAGCAGGGTCTTCTGGCTTTCACCTCTAAACTTTTTGGTAAAGGTAACATAGTTTGGATTTTGTAAGAAGATAATGATCCAAAGCATCAATTGAAAATCGCGAAAAATGGAAGAAAGAAAATGGTATTGAGATACTTTTTTGGCTATCAATATCTCTAGACCAAAACCCTATAGAAAATATTTGAAGGTTAATGAAAATTAATATACAAAAAAAAATTTGATCAGTTAGAAGGTTAAAGAAGAAACTTACAAAAGAATAGAATTGATTATCACCTGTACTTGCTGCGAATTTAGTAGCTAGTATAAAAAGGTGTACAGTTGCATTTATAGAGTCAGATGGTGATTACACAATATATTGATTTTAGTTAGTTGATTATGTATTTTTTAAATAAAATAAAAAATTTTGAATTTACTTACTTATAGCCAGAGTTAGAGACAATCAGATACTTATGACCGCTATTGTATCTACCAAAATCCACAAGCATTAAAAGACAAGAAAAAAGAAGAATTACCAGTTAATTATTACTGAAATTTAACTGCATAGATGCAGGTTTCTATATGGAATAAATATATTAAAAAATTGAATACACAAATGCAGTCACAAAATTGTAAGATTCTTAATTAGTTGACAATGCTCCTGTGTATATTATACATAAAGATAATAATTTGATAAATATGAACATATACATTTTATTACTTAATACAACCTTCTAATTGTAACTTTATAATGCTAGAATTATAAATCACTAATAATGTAATTTTTTATTAATTTAGATGCAGTATCAAAGTTACATATTAAAAACAGGATTGAAGCATATGAAATTTCATAAGAATTAAATAGAAAAGTGATTTCTTTAAATATTAATAATGCTATTAATTTTAGCAATAATGCTTGGAATTCTGTAAGTGAAAAAACAAATAATAATTGTTGGAAGCATACAGGAATTCTTCCATGTGACAAAATGAAGATGATGATGATCAGACATTTTGTAATAACAAAATCTCATTAATCAACTTCCATTTGATGATCTTATGGATATTGAAGAGTTTCTTCATTTTGATGACTATTTAAAAATTAATGAAGGATTGGCGGATGATGAAATTATATCTATGGTAATAAAACCAAATAATGATGAACCTGGGGTAGAACAAGACAATGAGCCTTTAGCAATAATTTCAAAAAAAGAAGCTTTGAACCATTTAGATGATCTTATATTTTTTGAAAATTTATCAGATATTTCTATTAATTCAAATGAATTAAATGTATTACAGAAATTGAGACATCGTATATTGATGATTCAAAACAAATTACATTAGATAGTTTTATTCAAATTTTGTAATACACAATAATATTGAACAGTAAATTTACGAAAATTTATAATGCTTTATTAAAAAATTTAAGTTTAAAGTTATGAAACGACAAAAATTTTGTACACCGATACTGATCAACATTCAACATTAATATCGGTATATAAAATTTTTTATACACCGATAATCACACTTTTTATTTTTGGTCCCAAGGGGTGTGACTATAAAGGGGGACGACTGTATATGGAATTCCACTGCTTTCTTGAATTCAAAAACTGTACGAATTCCGGCATTGATAATATTACCCTCGGATATCGAATGGAAGTATACGAATTGAGAAAATCTTTATTGTTAGCGACTTCGAGAATGATAGCATTAATTCAATACGAAAAATTTTCAAATATTTCTTAATTATACTGAAATTACTGTAGAGACTGCGAATTTTGAGGGAAAATTGCCAAGAAAAGATATAGAGCCGTATATGTGGTCTAACTATGCTGAAAACCATTTAGAACAACGAAAACGACTCCTCGAATATTTCGACCATCATCTTAAGGAAACTTTCTAAGTGAAACAACTTCGACTTTTTCTTCTGTCAACTGTGTCAACCGTTGATGCATTTCTTTGATTATGGCGGTGAAAGGAAGGAAAACTGAAAATCGTCAAAGTTAGAATGTTAGTAACAGAAAAATGAAATGACAGCGAGAAAGAAGTGGAGTTTTGATATATTCGAATGCACTCGTTGTACTTACCTTGTTCTTTCCCCTTTAACCTCTCGATAAAGTTTAAGATATCAATTATGGGACCACCCGGCATTTTCCATTTTTCCATTTTCTTTCAGTCAGTCCAAGAAAACTTGATCCGGTAATATCTTGATTTCGAAGAATATTTAGGTGCTTCTCTTTAAGCTTTAAACCTTGTTTCAGCAAAAAAATCAATAAGTTCTAACTTTTTAACATCAGCTCCGGAAAGAACACATATCCGATACTTATATTATTGGTGTAAACATGTATGATATGATTTTATAGGTAGGCATGATTTATGCAACATAGATACTCAAGAAAATGTAAAACGAAAAAAATTTGGTTAGAGAGATCAACCCGAATTTTTGTATTACGGAATTCCCAACATGACTCGACATCACATGATCAGCATTTGTAACATCATCTTCCCCAGCATCGTGATCATAGTAAAATATTTGTCACCTGGTGTCACACCCTCCCTGTTTTCATTTTTATTATATATTTCAACGATTTTTTTAAAGTAAGTAAATTTCTATTTGTCACCCATTATTTGTCACGTGTATGCCACACTTAATTTTTCAACGCCACACTTAATGCCATAACGCTGGCAAAAAAATCACGTGAGCGCAAAATTTTGTTGGTGATGCTGGGGATATAATTCCATTCAAAAAAAAATAATAATTTAGACCGTAAGATCATTTCTGCACTTAGATGGAAGCAATATTTTTTTTCATATATACAACGGTTTCTCAGGATTTTTTAGCAGAGTCCTTTCTCTTTGATATACACCATTCACCTTCCCTTTTTCCCTTGCGATACGTTATTTTAATTTTCTTAATCCGAATTATTATTTGCGCATTTGTTTGAGTTTATAAAATTGATTTGTGAAAGTGTAAGTGAAGGTAATTAATTTTATTAACATAAATATACTGAATACAACAATAATGTTAAGTTTTCTACTATATTTTTAAGGAACTTCTGTTGATCGGATATTTTTGATATGGTAATTTTAGCGTAATTTTTCAATCCTTAGACCCACTGCAGAAAATATAAAAAGATGAGGCCTATGTTAGTGAAACTCTTGTGTAAGTAAAACAAAAAAAAAATCAAACGAGGTAATCGAACTTATCTTTGAAAATATAGGGTACGAGAGGAAAGAGGCTGTCGACTATCAAGAGATAACTTGAATACCCGCTTACTCATACTTCACCGCCAATTGACTGGAACAGACATGAAGCATGGCGTCTCCTAGGTAAATATATCAAGGGAAGCACTCACCGCCAATTGACTGGAACAGACGTGAGTTAACTTCAGCAAAGTAAGCGGATCAACTGTCGCCGCCAATTGACTGGAACAGACACGAAAGTTGTTAGCCGTCAAACAACTCATAACTTCACCGCCAATTGACTGGAACAGACATGAAGGATGGCGTCTCCCAGGTAAATATACCAAGGGAAGCACTCACCGCCAATTGACTGGAACAGACGTGAGAAACTTCAGCATAGTTGTACCCTCTTTATTTTTTGTCAAACTAGGAAACGAAACAGTTGCAAATTATTCAAATTATTCGTTGTTTAGTGTCACATAGATATATATGTGATACAAATCTGTAAAACGTCACGCGTGCATATCGCCAAAGTAATATTAAAAAAAAAAAAAAACGCGTAAAATTTCAATTCGAACTATCTGTTTATACTAGTATTCGTATTGCTTATTTTCAAAATTATAATGACTGCAGTTCTTAGATCCGTAAAATTCTTAAACTTTACAGCGCCTACCTCAGAAAACACGCATTCTTATTTTAAGAAGGTTCCATCTCAGTATTGGCAATTAAAACATTATCTGAGTTTTTGTTTAAAAAACGACGAAGTAATTTTACCGTGGTCAACTGTGTACGATGCTTGGCAAACGTCTCTTAACTTTATATCGAAAAACTGTAATAAAAGATTTCCAGGCTGTGTGTCCGGTTTCTGTACTGAATTATGTAACATTTGTAACACTTATGAAGGCTCAGTCGTACTTGAGAACTGTGAGAAATTTTATGAAGAATTTTATCAACGGAGTATTGACCTGCAATTTGCTGAGAGACTTCGGCTTCTTGAATTTACAATATTCTCGGAACATAATTTGACAAAATACTTAAGAAAATCGGACAAAAAACGAATAGGAGAGGATAATGAAGAACCCTCGTCGTTTAGTGAAAAACGAATTAGCCGTGAAGAATATAATGTGGATAATTATGTGGTTTGTACTTAATCCATATTACTTTTTACGGTGTTATATGCTGTCGATACCTCTTGTTCTAACATATCTTACAAGCTCAAAGATCACACGGCTATAAGTTTTTCGGATGAAGAGGTAAAAATTATCTTCTCCTTACATACCTATATTGGTATTAAGATCATACGTACTTTGAAGGCTGACTTTCTGTTATTTCAAATAGAGTGAAACCGAAGAAATTTCCCAACCAGTAACTGAACAAGAGGAAAATTCTCCATTTAATACGTGGATTCTCACAACAGGGAAAAACGTCTCTCAAGTTTTGGAGGACTTTAGATCAAAAATTCCAAAACCAAAGGCTTACCTATAGTAAGGACTCATTTTAGAAAATTAGTTGTAAGGCTTTTTCTTACCATCTCACATCTTGGTGTATGTTTGCCAGTCCCGCGTTCTTTGGAATACTTGATCTATCTGGTGAAGATACGGAAGTTAAGAAACTGTTCACCGATGATGAATGGTCAGAAATGAAAAATGATTTTAGCAAAACGGTGGAATTTAAAGATATAAAAGACAATAATAAGCCGGAAGGGACTAATAACAGCGGTGGAGAAAATACCACCACCACCAGTGATACAAATAAAAATACGACAACTAATACTAGTAATGAGCAAAACAGCGATCTCAAGAAGAAATGTTGTACGACTTGTTTGATAAAATCCAAGAGGTAACAAGCATTCACTTCTTCATTTTGCTCGTTTGATTATTGGCTGACTTTTTGAATCATTAAGGCTATTAGAAAGAAGCCAGATGATCTAATCACTGCGATAGAAAAATGCACAATTGAGGTATGACATCAATTTTAGTACTATGATGACTTTAAATTTCTTTAATTTCATGACTATTACTATTTGCGTTTTGATTGAAGGGAAATCCAAAGATCAATTCTATACGAAGACTAATCCAAACCTAGTAAGTTCATCATTTCCGTTTTATGTTGGATAACATTTAATTAACATTATTTTTTTACCATACGGAAGCGCCTATAATCTGGAGAGACTACAAACCTCGATTACAGAGGCTATGTTCTCCAATAATTTTACGAACATTTTAACTAAAGACATCCTGACATACCATCGGAAGTTTATATATGATGAGTAAGGGTATTGAAATTTCCGGTTTCACCAAACTATATTCTATTATTAATAATAAACTATTTTGTCATGGTTTCTTAGAGGAGAGATACAAAGTATTGCATCTGCCTTCATTACAAATTCAATGAAGAAACCAACAGACAGGTCTCTGATAGGACAAAAATGCGATTTTAGGGTTACGTCTGACGGATTTGAAATGGTTATTGGGTTACGGTCTGGAGGATTGCCAGAAGCCTGTAAATCAAAGAAGTTGGATGATAAGATTGATCTGATGGTCGCAATGCGTGATGTCTTATTGCAGGAAGCAATCGAAAATAACGGAGTAGAGTGTATAGATTTCAAGCAATTATATACAATTGGAGTCCAATCATATGGTAAGATTTTCTGTAAATGCACTATCAATTGTTGGTTCATTTATTCAAATTAATATTACACATTAGGCTTTTTTTATAACGTCTATGCCATGGATTGGAAATCAAGAGGGTTGTGGAGGCTAGGCTTACTGAAAAAAACAAAGCTACCACAATCAAATTTACAATTACTCATAATTGAAAAATTAGTCGTAACAATGCTACGAATTGAGGTTTGTCTTCTTTCTCAAAGTTTAATTTATGGTTTTTGGGCATACCGAATTCATATGTCTGGGAAGATTCTTTATGTTAAAAATTTTCCTTTCTATAGTCAACACTCAATCATATTGAAACTATTCGGAATGACTTAGTAATGAAAGCATCAAGATTACATAGAAAAGGCCGCACTTCTATCATCCTTAAACAATATGCAGTTTGTGAACAACGTGTAAGGCGGATACGTATTCTAAAAGACCTTTATAAGGATTAGCATGTGGGAAATTAATATGTAGTAATCAGAATTTTTTCGCTTGATATGATAAACTTATGTATATGTATAGATATGATATCGATACTTATGTTTACCGCGTACTATAAAAACATATGTTTCGGAAAATTTGCGTAATAAATTCTTATTTTTGTTGTAAATCAATAATCATTCATTAGCTAACGTGGAATACGCAAGATTTCGGAATCAATGCGCAGTAATATTTTGAGTTGTTGCTGAGCATTTAAAAAAGCTCAAACTAATATTCATTTTTTCGTTCAGGAATTTATTAACATCATAATTTACAGCGGAGTTTTATTAAGTTAATGTTGTTCATTCCTGGCATTACATGTTCGCTATCCAGAATATCGGTTTTGGGACGAATACAATTGGATCAGAGTTACCCAAAAATTTAGAAAAAAACAAAAATTTATTTTTCAAAGAAAACTTTTATTTTTATTAAAAACTTTAATCATACAATATGACTCTCGATATTTTTAAACATCTTTTTACTCAAGAAGTCTTGGACTTTCAAAAACTTAAGGCCTATATTACACCAGAACTTGAAAAAAGAGACTTTGCTATTATGGAATTTCTCTTATACAAGACACCAGAAGTTTTCTGGCTTGTCAGGAAACTAAATGAAGAATATATAAAAGCCTTTCCAGCAGAACATACTGCACAAGAAATTTTCCTTAACAATAACTTTATAGACAATCTTGCAAGGTCTTCTTACACGAAACAGGGCAAGCAATTATGGAATAAACAATACAAAAGATATTATTTCGAATACTATTGAAACAGCTCTTTCCTCTAAAGAAACTAATGATATTATTTTAATTATAGATAAAGAGAAACTTAATTTACAAATGGATATACTAAATAATGATGATATATTAACAGATACAAATATTACAAGATACAATAATCTTCCTTCTTCTTTAATATCTTCAGTGGGATATCACGCTTTAACATAATTATGTTAAAGTGTGATATCCCACTTAGACTAGGTTATAGTACCACGCTATAATCTAAATACTATGCTATAGTCTGAATATCACGTTATAATCTAGATATCACACTATAATCAAAATAACACACTATAATCTAAATGGGAGTGTTTCTAGGAAAATCAGGTTCTGAGAAATTTTTGACTAAAATTTAAAGCTTAATACATTTTAATCTAATAACATCAAAATCTAAAATGCAATAAAAATCTCAATTTTGCTAAAAAATTCCCAG